GGGGGGGAAAGTTATTTTATGGATAAAACAAGAAAAAAAAAAAATCTTTCAGTGTGGTAAGAAAAATAATTTTGTTTTCCCTTTAAAGTTTATTGTACTTACCCCACTGGCAGATCATATTTTCTTGTTTTAAGCATAAACTCACTTAATTTGGCTGATTTCAGAAAACAAGACTTAATATCTTAGGTTGCTTCTCAAGTAAATGTATCATGATTTAAGAATTGTTAGATATTTGTTACTAAGAAAATAGTTTTTTGAAGGATGTTTTAAGTTTTTGACAATAAGGCTGCATTTATTGGTCAAAAAATACAGTAAAAACTGTAATATTGTGAAATATTATTACAGTTTAAATGAACTGTTTTCTATTTGAATATGTTTTTAAAATGTCATTTATTCCTGTGATCAAAGCTGAATTTTCAGTATCATTACTCCAGTCTTCAGTGTCACATGATTTTTCAGAAATCATTCTAATATGCTGATTTACTGCTCAAGAAACATTTCTTATCAATGTTGAAAACAGTTGTGCTGCTTTACATGTGTATTTTTGTGGAAACCGTGATACTTGTTTTAGGATTATTTGATGAATAGAACATTTAAAAGAACAGCGTTTATATGAAATAGCAAACCAAATCTTAGATTGTCTGATTCGGTCTGATATCCTACAAGTGTATATATTTGTCACCTATAAGATGACAGAAGTACCTAGTAACAAGTGGGTTATCCAGATAAAATAATTAGTATTCTGCTGGTCATGTGATCACAACATGGCGGCCACTATGAGAGCAAATCCACCTTTATGTGGAATAATACTTTTTGCACTTTTAAGAGCTTAAGTTTAAATGTTTTCCTCCAGTAAGCTTAAAGAAGTGTCAGACTTTTACATTCTCTTCTTCATAAACTAATGAAGCAAACATGTGCATGCATGCCTTATTACTGCATTAAACATCTTCATAAACTGTAATATTTTATAGTGATCTAGTAAGTCATTTATTCTAAGGATTATTATTTAATAATAATAATCTGTTTTGAAGTTTAGCATGACAGCTGAGATTGAGGCATGAGGATCTTTGTTCTCTATCCGTTCGCAGCACTCTCATCTAAAGTGTGTGCTGCAGGAAGGCTGGGTGATGGAAAAATAACCAGTCAGGATGACTATAAAGCGCTCGCATATTCCTCTGGGCATGTGGAATTTCACAGGCTTTCTCCAGATGACTGCCCAGTGTTTCGACAGCGGGCACTGCTCTAGAGAGAGCTGATGTTGAATCTGGCAGAGGGACAGAGATCTGGGAGTCCAACAAAAGCCACGCAAGCTCTACTGACACCACCTCCCTCCCTCTCTTCAGCCCGCTGTGGGTTACACATTATAAACATCATTTAAAAACGCCATATCGGCCCTCCATCACGGATTTATTGATTATATAAGTCAGCAAATAACGATTTGCAATATTTTAAAGTGTGTTTAGAACAAATAAAAAGGTTGTTCAAGCATCATTTTCATATAGGATTAATAAAGTATCTATCTACACTGTAAAAAATGACTGTGAATTTAACGGTAAAAGACTGTAAAAATACTACAGTAAAAACCTGTTAAATGGTTAACGGTAAATCCGCCTACTATATACGGTGAAAAACTGTATTGGACATTACATGTATTGGACATTAATTTTACGGTAGTATACCGTTTTTGGAAGTGAAAAGACCGTATAATTTACAGTGAATAACTGTAAATTGACATTCCCAGAATTCCCTGCGTTACATTTCAAATTTGATGTTTTTTTGTTGAAATAACTGTTTCTTCTTAGTTTTTTCTTATCAGTTTTGTATATTAGGGTTGTGTGTTACACCTAATGTTGTTAAATGAATGTTTATTGCATTATTTCAGTTTCATGTGTGTTACCGTGATGGTGTTTAGTGTTTGTGTGAATGACACTGTGCATCTTCTATATATGTTAGTATTTAAAAGCTGCTTGTGATAGGCTTTGGTTCATCATGTGACTTTCTCATCACCACATTTGGTGGTTATCAGTGTATTACAAAGGTACAAAACAGATTTCAGTACTTCAATAGGTTGGTATATTAACATTATATCAGTTACAGTATTTAACTGTAAATTTAAGTTAAAACCTAAAACGTTGCTACCATATTTTTTACGGTAAAATTCCGGCAACCACAGTTGCTGTTATTTTTACCGTAAAGTTTACAGATTTTTTTTTTTACAGTGTATCTATCGTTCATTCTATCATTAAATCTGTTTTTTTAAAAGCCCAAAAAGAACAGTAAAAAAATAGAGTGCTAATCTTATTAATTATGATAATGCAAAACATGCATGCATATAACATACTGTATGCATGTGCATATATATGTAAACTATATTTATAATTAACTATACTATTATATTTCATCATAAAAACTAAAATAAGATTTCACAGTAAAATATTAAGCTGCACAACTGTTTTCAACATTGATAATAATAATAAGTGTTTCGAGCATGTTTATATTTATTTATTTAATTATACATACATGCTCAAGAAACATTTATTATATATTTGGGTCAAAGATTAATGTCCATCATGTATTTTTACCATGATTTACAAAAAACACACACTAAAATGTCATTGATATAGTTTGTATATAAAAAATTGTGTCAAACATATTTAGAATAATGACATTAAATATATGACATTAAAAAGCCTCTATTTAAGGATCACAGTGCAGCCCTCAAAAAAACGAATTAATTGTCATTTTAAAACTTTACCAATCTTTGCCACTATTTCTAAAACCACTAGGTTTTACCTATTTTGTCCGCAAGAAGTTTTTAATCATTTAAAATATAATAACATTTAATATGATCATTTTTTATTTCATATATTTTAGTAAGTACAGGTTAGAATAAATGTTTTTTTTTGTCATTTTTAACTGGAAAGACGATGACATATTCTTTCACCCATATTTTGACAAATTGTCACGAGTTATTTGAAAAATTAAAATTAGACACTTGCATTTGATTTGCTTTGTATGGATATAAAATCACTGTAAACTCAATTTGATGCAGACACCAAAATGGGATGTCTCATCTTTAACCCATGTACAGTGGGGGAAAAAAGTATTTAGTCAGCCACCAATTGTGCAAGTTCTCCCACTTAAAAAGATGAGAGAGGCCTGTAATTTTCATCATAGGTATACCTCAACTATGAGAGACAAAATGATGAAAAAAAATCCAGAAAATCACATTGTAGGATTTTTAAAGAATTTATTTGCAAATTATGGTGGAAAATAAGTATTTGGTCAATAACAAAATTTCATCTCAATACTTTGTTATATACCCTTTGTTGGCAATGACAGACGTCAAACGTTTTCTGTAAGTCTTCACAAGGTTGTCACACACTGTTGCTGGTATTTTGGCCCATTCCTCCATCCAGATCTCCTCTAGAGCAGTAATGTTTTGAGGCTGTCGCTGGGCAACACGGATTTTCAACACCCTCCAAAGATTTTCTATGGGGTTGAGATCGGGAGACTGGCTAGGCCACTCCAGGACCTTGAAATGCTTCTTACAAAGCCACTCCTTCGTTGCCCGGGCGGTGTGTTTGGGATCATTGTCATGCTGAAAGACCCAGCCACGTTTCATCTTCAATGCCCTTGCTGATGGAAGGAGGTTTTCACTCAAAATCTCACGATACATGGCCCCATTCATTCTTTCGTTTACACAGATCAGTCGTCCTGGTCCCTTTGCAGAAAAACAGCCCCAAAGCATGATGTTTCCACCCCCATGCTTCACAGTAGGTATGGTGTTCTTTGGATGCAACTCAGCATTCTTTCTCCTCCAAACACGACAAGTTGAGTTTTTACCAAAAAGTTATATTTTGGTTTCATCTGACCATATGACATTCTCCCAATCCTCTTCTGGATCATCCAAATGCTCTCCAGCAAACTTCAGACGGGCCTGGACATGTACTGGCTTAAGCAGGGGGACACATCTGGCACTGCAGGATTTGAGTCCCTGGCAGCGCAGTGTGTTACTGATGTAGCCTTTGTTACTTTGGTCCCAGCTCTCTGCAGGTCATTCACTAGGTCCCCCCGTGTGGTTCTGGGATTTTTGCTCACAGTTCTTGTGATCATTTTGACCCCACAGGGTGAGATCTTGCGTGGAGCCCCAGATCAAGGGAGATTATCAGTGGTCTTGTATGTCTTCCATTTTCTAATAAGTGCTCCCACAGTTGATTTCTTCACACCAAGCTGCTAACCTATTGCAGATTCAGTCTTCCCAGCCTGGTGCAAGTCTACAATTTTGTTTCTGGTGTCCTTTGACAGCTCTTTGGTCTTGGCCATGGTGGAGTTTGGAGTGTGACTGTTTGAGGTTGTGGACAGGTGTCTTTTATACTGACAACGAGTTCAAACAGATGCCATTAATACAGGTAACCAGTGGAGGACAGAGGAGCCTCTTAAAAAAGAAGTTACAGGTCTGTGAGAGCCAGAAATCTTGCTTGTTTGTAGGTGACCAAATACTTATTTTACCAAGGAATTTACCAATTA